TGTTCAAATTGTGAGACGATGAGCGTAATACTGAATCGTCTACAAAATCCATGTTGCAAAAGTTGATTCGATTGTTATGATTCATCATCGAACAAAGATGATTTGAATAAAAAATAAATTTATTTCAAAATTTTAAGAAATATCGGGAAAATTGACTAGAAAACGAACAAAAACCGGGAACCGGGAAGTCGGTGAAAATATCGGGATTTCCCGGCAATTCCCGGCGGGATGGGGGGTCTACATATACCCTATTTTAACCCCTTTCCCCGCATTTCTGGGGTTGGGCATCTATATATAATTTATCTACACACAATGCCCTTTAAGATGGGAGGCATCAGAACTCTAGACAAAACAGCCCAAAACGGGACACAGTTCTTTGTGTTCGTCCGTCCCAAAAGTGTCCTATTAAAACAATTTGTTCGTCCGTCCTAAAAAATTTGTCCGTCCGTTTGTCCCAATTTGAAATAGGACATTAGGACAACTGTCCGTTTGTCCGTTTGTCCTTTGGAAATGAGACATCAGGACAAGATGTCCGTTTGTCCTAATTTGAAATGGGACATTGGGACAAATGTCCGTTTGTCCTTTTTGGCAATGGGACATTAGGACAAGATGTCCGATTGTCCCAATTTGAAATAGGACATTAGGACAACTGTCCGTTTGTCCGTTTGTCCTTTGGAAATGAGGCATCAGGACAAGATGTCCGTTTGTCCTAATTTGAAATGGGACATTCGGACAAATGTCCGTTTGTCCTTTTTGGCAATGGGACATTAGGACAAGATGTCCGATTGTCCCAATTTGAAATGGGACATTAGGACAAGATGTCCGTTTGTCCTAATTTGAAATAGGACATTTAGACAACTGTCCGTTTGTCCTTTTTGGCAATGGGACATTAGGACAAGATGTCCGATTGTCCCAATTTGAAATGGACATTAGGACAAATGTCCGTTTGTCCCAAATCAATAAAAGGACGGACAAATGAACAAAATTTGTCCCTTTGCCACCTTTAGCGAAGACTAATCATGTTCAATCCCAACAATCTCTGTTCGTATGGTGTGATTGAGTATTGGTTATATACGGATGGGTATGACATGTTGGTTGAGCGTGATGCGATCACGAACAATTTCAAGCAAATTTACGTTGACAAGGTGTTCGAAGATCGTGAAGATCGTTGGTAGTTTTGCTATGCACCTGTAATCTTCAATGTCCAATCTGGCGCCCTTTTTAAATATGGGTGATACACTCGATCGTTTCCATTCATCGGGAAAGATGCCAGATGAGAGCGATTCATTGAAAATTTCAGTCAACGGACTAGCAAGCGTCGGAGCACACTCCTTCAAAATCAAAGGATGAATACCAACACCTTTCTTGGTGTTGACCTTCGTCATTTAAGTCATGACAAAATCAAGGTCAAGCTGGAAACGCCACCGAAGCTCAGCATTCTTCCACGGGCATTTTTGGTTGTTCTTGTGGACCTACGTTGGAACCGTACACTGAATGGCTTTCGCTTTGCAGTGCCAGAACCTCCTAAAAAATAAATACCGAAGTACCACAATGTGGACTCCATTAAGTATGCTTAAAGGTGTCAACGGACAAGCACCTTGTCCGTCCGTCCGTCCGTCCAGGGCTCTTGAAATTTTTTTGTCCGTCCGTCCGTTCAGAGCTCCCAAAAATTTTTCTTTTCCGTCCGTCCGTTCAGCTCCGGTCGGACAAACGGACGGACAAGAAAAATTTTTGGGAGCTCTGAACGGACGGACGGACAAGAAAATTTTTAGCGGCTCTGAACGGACGGACGGACAGACAAAAAAAATTTCAAGAGCCCTGGACGGACGGACGGACGGACGGACGGACGGGCTAAAAAGACGGACAGTCCGTCCGTTTGACACCTTTAAGTATACTCGTATATGGATCATTTTATATTGAAGGACTTTTGGCACACGAAAAGTTGTTTTTCAGTCATGAAATATTAAGCAAAGTTATAGTTCTTGATGTGAACAAATAGTTATCCTTTGTAGTGATCTGCGAAAAACCACACCTTGTGTGCTAAAAGTCCTTTAATACAAAATAGTCATACACGAGTATACTAAATGGAGTCCACATTATGGTACTTCAGTATTTATTTTTTAGGGGAGTTATTTTTTGGTATCGACATGTACAGCGAAGTTCTAGCTCTTGATGAGTAGAGTGAATTTGATCAAGGCACAAGGTGAAAATAATTTACCATTTCTGAGTTATAACCCCAAATGTCAAATAAATGGTGTCATTTTGATAGCAGCTGTCATACTTTCACGGCTATATCTCTTGAAGTTCTTGGAATATTTGGTCGGTTATTATTGCGTTTTTTTGGTCTACATTCAAGCTTTCAAACGCAGTTCACTATGATTGGTTCAAGAAATATTTGCATATAGTGACGGCGTCAATGACTGCAAAATTCATCATTCAATTTATCTAGAGGTGATACATTGAAGAAAAGTTTTGCATCTAATCTAACAAGTCCCAGTTATGATTCTAAAATTTAAGTCGATATATTCGATCTGTTTTCTGATTCTTATTGTTTTTCTAGTGCACTTTTGGCGAGTACTTTTTTAGGCAGCTTCGAGATAATTTGTCGCTTTTGTTTCCGTTCAATTTGACAAAAAAAATCTGAACTAAATGTAACAAAAAAATCAATAAAATTAACATTACCTTCAATGAAATGGTCGAATTGAGAAAAAAACTCTCACAAAATTAGCAATATATCTGAAAAAATGGATAGGAAAATGACAATTTTTGCAATAAATTTGACAATAGCAAGCACTAAATAAATAAATTTACGTCAAATTTATTGCAAAAAATGTCAATTTTATACCCATTTTGTCAGATTTATTTTCTAATTTGGCAATTCTATTACCTATATTGTCAAAATTATTTTCTCAATGTGGCAATTTCATTGGACGTAATATTAATTTTATTGATTGTTTTGTTACATTTTAATTCGATTTGTTGTCGATTTTGTTGAATTTTTTTGTCAACTTTATTGCCGTTTGGTCATTTTTATTGGCGATTTGTAAATTTTAAAGGAGGTTTTGTATTTAATCAAACATATGCAGCATTTCGGAGCAACATAAGCTTGTGCATCATGCTTTATCCCCACTTTTTCAATTTTTGTGGATTTTCTCCATTTAAACAAATATATAAACAACCGTATACTCAATCGTGTCCGGCCCAGAAATGTCATTGTTCTAGATTTTTGGGAAAAACTTGAAAAATCCAAAATATTTGTTAGAAATTCTCTCAGATAGTTCACATTATTATGCAACAAATAGGCACCTAAAATCAAAATTGAATGAAAAAACATAGAATGGTTTATGAAACAAACCACGATATAAAAAATATTCGATCGTATACTCAATCCTGTCCATGATTGTATATTTCATTGATTTTCACACAAAAAAGCATTAAATTGAACCGTCCAATTATGCACGAAAACCATTACATGGGATGTGGATCGTCAATACATATGTACAAAAAAGTCCATCGCGGCAGTGGGTGTTTAAAAAATGAAATTGTTTCTCTTGTCATTATCAAAAAATTCTTACCTTAGAGCATTCCTGAAATTTCAACCAAAAATATTATAGATATAAAATATTTTTTTCCAAATTTTTTTTTAAAATAAAGTCCAAGAGAACAGACATAGAGTTAAATTGTATGATTATAAATGCCTAAAAAATTCTTGCGCACTAAAAAGTGATTTTAAAATATTATTAGGATGATTTCAATCACTCCTTTATAAAGGATGATGATCATCAAATCTATTTATGCTCATAGAGAAGTTAGTAATAGTTTTCCACATTTTTTCCTATTTCTATTTTTGAATATGTTATTTGAATTCAACCGAATGAAATTACATGCGATAGTAGTTGGTCTAAGTGCCAGCTCCGAGTCAATTTATCAGAGTAGAAGTAATCGCAGTCGAAATTCAATACGCCACCGTCCGCATCGTGTATCATCTCGCCGTAATAAAGAAAATGGATCTGGAAGCTGTCGCAGAAAAAACAGTTCGAAAAAAGCGAGCGCAAATAACGATATTGTTAAGAATTCTAGTAGTTCAATCAAAGTTACCGGCAGCAATAATCCGAATGATGAAAAAGTACTAAAAGTTAGTTTTGACAAAAATAGTCCTCTAATGGATAGTGCACAGAAGTCACACTTGGTATCGCTCAGGGAGACACCGTCCGTCAAAGTGTCTCCAACAACCAAAAGCCAGCACTCAATGCTAATGAAACAGGAACAGATCAATCAATCGCATTCACGTAAGTTTATACTACTTATTCATAAATGGTTTGAAAACCATCTCATCACTTAATCTTGTTTCCCGAATACAGATCAATCATAGATAAAGGCACAGGGATAGCACTACACTAACAATAACACTATTTGCAAACTAAAGAGCGTCCAAACATTGAGAACCAGTGTAGACGCACGCTCGTAGTGCAACGAGCACGGTCGTGGACGCACTTACGTCTCGCTCACATTGTCAAACATTGATTAGTGTCAAACATTGTCGTTGAAATGTGTGGCGCTGTTTTTTTGACAGCTACTGGATGGGACTGCCGGTATGGATAAGGGATAAAGGAACAGGTTACGCCACAATGAATTTTAACAACAGTGCTTTTATGATTGAATTGAATAGGTGAGAAATCGGATGACCTCTAAGCTTCAACTTTCAAATGGGTCGTTTCTGCAGTATTTCGAATCAATTTTATGTTACAATTTCATTTTATGGACGTGGGGATCATCGAGTACTGTTGACGAACATTCGTTCGCAGAACATTTTCAATTTGTTAGTTTGCAAAAGGAAATTCGTCCGTTCGTCCGCAAAGAACATTTAAATTGATACAACCAAATTGTTGGCTGTCAAACGTTGTCTCGTTCACACCAACTGTCACACTGACTTGTTTGTGTACGAATTGCTGTTAGCGCAAACGGGATGTTGTTCGCAGTAAACTCAGTTTAGATGTTCGTTCAATTTTGCCAACGCGTAAAGTATACGAATCTTCTGTTGAAACAATTGAATTTTTCAGACTAACGTTGTGGACATAAAGATGTTAACGGACAAAATTTTGTTTGACCGTCCGTCCGATGTACTCCGCAAGAAGTTCGGACGTCCGTTCGAAATGGCCGAGCTTTTTTCTCGGACGGCCGGACAAACCAGTCGGACGTCCGAACTCTATGAATGCACTTCGAATAGCCGTGTTTTTCTCGCATGTTCGAACTAACCTTTAGTCAATCAGAGATTACTATGGGATATTTTTATTCATATGGGATAAAAATATCGCATAAAAATAACAGATATTTTTCACGCGTTGTGTTCAACGAAACGCATAAATACACAATAGCGATTCTGCACACACAGAGTCGCTGTTTTTTCGTTATACTCTTCACACTTACGTTGAGCTGCGCGGAGCGTGTATGCACATGTTTCGCTCACTTCTTTCTTTGAACACTCTTCGTGTGTCAACACAATGTCTGTGTGTGTATCGCTTGTGCCGTCGTTTGTAAACGACGTCAATGAGCTGCGCGATGTATGCATTTATATATTTCGCTCTTTTCTTTCGATCGACACTCTTCGTACCCAGCTCATTGACGTCGTTTACAAACGACGACACAAAAATATCCCATAGGTGTCAATAGAACGGATTTTGTCCGTCCGTCCTATTGTGATTGTTTTTAGGACGGACAATTTTATTTCGTTTGTCCGTTTGGGATTTAGGACGGACGGACGGACAAAATATATCAAAAGGAAAATTTTTAGATGGACGGACAAAAATTTGTCCGTCCTAATAATGATTGGTGTTCAAGTTATCATTACCATAACTGGGTGATGTGAATTTGTTATTATTGAATATTGTATAGTGAAAAAAATAAAATGGAGGCGATGCGATTGCTCATGAAAGAATGAGAAAAAATGAACCCAGTGATCGAGTAGAAAAAGAAGAGGAAAAAAAGAAATATTCGTTTGATGCAATAGAAAATTTATCTCGATGCGCCAAGTCACGAAACGTTCACAATACAGTGGAAAGCAATGAATCCTGACCGGTGTTCCATTCATTTTGTTGCACACTCAAACAATAGCACACGCGAAGATTCATTTTATTCAATTTCACTATTCTTTATATTCATAAAAAGAAATGCATATTTCCATTACACAAATTGTTTTTTCATTTGAAGTACATACGAAGCTTGTGTTGAAAACTGCTACAACTTTCATGCAATTTCCGTCCGTCCTAAATCTTAAACGGACAAACGAAATGAAACAGACAGTACAAAACTAAATTGTCCGCCCTAAATCCCAAACGAACGGACGAACATGGGAAATCCAGTCCGCTGTCCGTCTAATGTTGAAATCTGTCACATTAAATAAACTTTTTATTTACATTTCCCAGTTCGAACGGCCAAAAATACTCGGACGTCCGAGAAAAATACGGCTGTTCGAGGTGCCTTCATAGAGTCCGAGAAAAAAGTTCGGCCACTTCGGACGGATGTCCGAACTTCTCACGAGCTTCTATGGACGGACGGACGGCTGAAAATGCAATTTTTCTTTGTCTGTCCGTGTCCGTTGACACCTTTAAACGGACGAACAAGGTCGCTTTCTTCGTATACAAATACAGGGGAAAGATTTGACGTAAGACGCCAAGACGCCTCTACGCGTATATTGCTCGAAGCTGTCATCGTACACATATTGAACACGAACATTGTCGTTTACACAATCGCACTCACACAAATGAACGCATCGATAGTGCCCGCTCAATATATGTACGATGACTGTTTTGAGTGTCCCTCGCCCAGAGGGCTTCATATATCCTTGGAGCACAGAGAGATTGCAGATGGCTTTTGGAATATGTCGAAAAGCAACTTTTTTATATGGCGGTTTTGAAGTTTGCAACCATTCAAAATTACAAAAAAATTGGACAAATCGCAACCGCCATAGAAAAAAATTGCTCTTTGACGTATTCCAAACGTCATCTGCAATCGTACCAACCTAATTTCTCTCTGTGAGTTAACATGTTTCTGGCGCTAGCATTCTGAAGAAAGTTTACCACAAAATATAATGAAAATTATTGTACAATTACAAAAAACAGGTCAAATCATACATTCAATGCAAAAACATTTATTGCCCTACCTAGCGCGAGCGCTATATTTATTTGCACATGAAAACAAACTAATTGACTCATACAGAGTTATAATACAATAAAAACTCTATGTAGAAGGAATTCTGTAGTTCATTTTGTTCAGTGGCATTCGAATTAGGAAGGGCAATGAATGCTTCTGCATAAAACCATATTGGTTAAATCCAATGGACGGGATGTCTATGTGTTTTGGAAAAATGTTAACAAACTTTTCTATGCACACCATTTCTTGTGCAAATGATGCGAACATTTCGTGTTCGTTGGCATCTAGGATGAACCTATGTTTAAAAATCGATTCAATTGGCCTTACTTGTAAAAAAATTCTTATGTTTTCCTGTACGGTCAACAAACGAATTTATTATCTACCAAATTTTTTCAAATTTTTTGAATAAAGAACATTGTAAACCTTAGAACACAAAACCATTGTAAACCTTAGAGGTAAGTGGAAAATGGAATGGTTTTGCCAGATTGGTCTCAGAATTATTTGAAATTTTTTGAAATATTCACTTCCCGAAATGCCCTTGCCTATTTTATATTTTAAAAAATACCATGGAAAACCGATTCAAGTAAATTGGGATATTCTCAAAATCTGAAAATTACCACCAGAGTTCGTTTTGTCACTCTGTCATTTACAAACATCAGCGCCAAAACAACCGTTATGTGTGTATCCACTCAAATTGAGAAAAAACGTGTTCAAATGAAGAAAAAAATTACTTCTCCGAGCATGAACAAATTTAAATAAAAAATAAACAAATATTCAATAGACTAACTCGGCCAGAATAACTGTCACTTTATTTTTAACCCTCAATCGCTCACCTGGGTCTGGCCAGACCTTTTTCGTTTTTGATCGTTAATTTAACACATTTCTAGTTTAGCTAGCGACTTGAGTTTTAAGTTACTTGCCTAAAATTTCATTGGCTATCGATCTAACAAAAGATCCATTAAAAAAAGTCCTTTAAAAGGATGAAATGAGGATATGCAAAAACTACACCTTCGATCGCTCACCTCGGGTCTGGCTGGACCCCTATGTATTTGTATGCATTTGTATGGGAATAAGGTATACATGCCATCTCATTTTTCACGAGACTGATAAAAGATAAGTGATATCTGTCTTCAGCAAAGCTATAGAGCAGGTCAAGTACTACTTTCTTCTACTAATTTATTTCAGTTCACCATATCGCGTTTTTCACGGTTTTTTGCGCAACTGATAAGAGATAACGAATCTATGTCTTGAGCAAAGTTGAAGAATTTTATCTGCCCTACCACTTTGTTGAAGACAGTCATCACTTATCTCTTATCAGTTACGTGAAATACGCGAAAACCCGCAGAAGACCGCTAGCATGATGGATAGTTTTAATTATTATTTTTTGCGTTACTGATAACGAGATAAAGAAGAGATAAGTGATAACTGTCTTCGACAAAGTGGTAGGGCAGATAAAGTACAACAACTTTGCCCAGAGCATAAATTCGTTATCTCTTATCAGTTGCGCAAAAAACCGCGAAAAACGCGAGATATCTCTTATCGTTTTTCGCGGAACTGATAAGAGATAAGGAGATGGCAAATAGAAAAAAATTGTATAACTTGACCCGCTCAATAACTTTGCTGAAGGCAGTTATCACTTATCTTTTATCAGTCTCATGAAAAATAAGATGGCATGCATACCTTATTCCCATACAAATGCATACAAATACATAGGGGTCCAGCCAGACCCGAGGTGAGCGATCTAAGGGTTTTAAATATGTGAATGAAGGAGGGTTAAGTACGAGGCAAAATAACTAAACCTTACCGTTATATTTGTTGATGTTTTATGTAACTAATTTACAAATGAACATTCGATCAAAACGCATACTTGTTCTGTAATAGCTACAAATGCGATACGGTGCCAATCAGAAGCGCGTTTAAACGTAATTTTTGAACATCAATACATAGTCGGCATTTACGTCAAAGTTTAAATAATTTGTCGGATATTCCTGTAAATAGATTGCGTAGCCACTATTTGATTTAAATTCAAATTCAAATGAGTGTCAATTTGGTGTCTCCCAAAAACTTGCCGCGAAAAATATTGTTTGAAACATCAAGATTTTTATACATTGCTAATTACGATTGTTCAATTGCTTACGATTTTATTCATCGATATTTGTTCTATCTAAAGCTTCGAAAAAGGTTGTGTCCACAGAAAGTTGGTTTTAAATTTTTTTTTAAATTTAGACAAATTAAAAAATTCCTAATTCAAATATGCAGAAAATGCGTTGTGAAAATGAAGAAGCGAAATAGAACCGAAGCGGAGCGACCCGAGTGGAGGTTCTATGGGTTCTATTTCGCTTCTTCATTTTCACAACGCATTTTCTGCATATGTGAATTAGGAATTTTTAAATTTGTCTGAATTTTTAAATTTTTTTAAAACCAACTTTCTATGGGCACAACCATTTTCGAATTTTTTCATTCATATCTCAGAAATTAATGGTTTTTTAGTTTTTTCGCTTGAAAAACGCTCTTCGGGACAGCCCTCAGTTCCCAAATGGTCGGATTTCGACCACAGGCGAGACTAGTTACGATAAAAGTGTTCATTTATGGAAATATCAAAGAGTGCTCAAAAAACTCGATTGAGGATATTGCACCACTTTACACCACGGATTTGTAGCTATCATGGAACATCACCTCAAAAGTGGTTTTCTTTGAGAAATATGTGGTGCGCTCGAAGATTCTGAACACACCACTATTTTTCTCAAAGAAAACCACTTTTGAGGTGATGTTCCATGATAGCTACAAATCCGTGGTGTAAAGTGGTGCAATATCCTTAATCGGTTTCGCAGAGTGTTTGTATTTCTTATCGGTGAACACGAATGTGCATGAAACAATCTGTGTACTGATAGCCTATATTTCTGTTTTTATTTCTGTTCTTTTCTCGACTTTGGACGACCAACAAATATGACACTAAAATACAAAATACGTGAATATAATATTGGTAATTTCGGAATAAGCATTAAAACCGATCAGAATTTGTTCAAAACACGGACATTTTCGGTCAATCTATGTTCCTCGGCATAAAATTTTATCCGGAGGCTAAAATCACTTTTTATCCTTAAAATCGATTCTTATCCGTCGGGTAAAATGTTGTTTAAAATGGTCGAAAATAGCCTCTTACGATGTTTTGATCTGAGAAAACTGCTATTTTATTGTCAAAATACATGAATCTATGACCATTTGAACATCGGTTTACCTATAAATTTGGTCTAAAACCGACATTTCTTCATAAGCAAGAGTGTGTTCGCAATCAACATACAAAATCACATTTATGGCGTAGAAAACTCACCTGTGATGGACTGTTATGAGTCTAATTCGACGTAATTTTAGACGGGGAATGGATTTAAAATTATCTTAATACTGTCGACCAAAGGGTCGAAAAGTGGCATTGTTCCAGGGGATGTTTTCAACTTGCAGTATTATATGCAGAAAAACACATTTTTTTACTTTGAAAATGATATACATTTTTAGTCTTTTATCTTATTTTTCTAGCGAAATGAACAATAAAACACATATTTTTCTACCATTTTGACCTAAAAACAGTATTTATTATGAAAATCTCCATATTGAGTGAATTTTACAGTGAAAGAGCCGATTTGAGACAAAAATGTAGGAAAGTGGGTATTCTGTTGTTCGTTGGGGGTCTATATTTTCGAAAAAACAGCGTTTTTTCTGTCCCAGAAAAAATATTTAGATAAAAACGAGATAGTCTCAAAAACGTCCAAATCTATCTAGATATCTTTTTTAAATTTATCTTTTTTTCATCTTTTTTCCGAAAAAGATCTTTGAGCTATCTCAAGATAATCTTTTTAGAAATATATGATTCTTTATTCATATGTCAATTTGATGAATTTTTTTCAATTTTTTTTTTGTTCTGTGAAAAATGCAGGAAAATTGGCCAAAAAACTTTAATTTTTGAAAAATATCCCAATCAACAAAAAATTTCAGTTGGAAGATTTACGTGATTTACCCTGATTTTGAAGTGTATTTTTTTCTCGTCAAAAACACCCTTAATAGGTCATCGTAGGAGTGCTCTTTATGCCATAAACCTGATTTTTTATGAAAATTTCAATCGATCGCATGTCTTATGAAGAAATGTCAATTCATGCAAAACGTGTAGGAAAACCAGTTTTCTCAGACAAAAACATCGTAAGAAGCCTTTTTCGATCATTTTTCTGACAAATATAGTCTGTAGTGCATAACAGTCGGAAAATCGAAACAATTCGAAAACCTGCCGTATCTGCCTACATGGGTTACAAGGGCTAACTTGTATGAATATTTCATTCACCGTATCGAATTTTTTTCAGTGGTCAGTGGTGCAAAAAATTGATTTTTTTTAACATTTTCAATTTTTCGATCCCCCTGGCAAGCACACGATTATAATCAAGAAAGTAGACTCTCTGCAGCGCCGTCGATTAGTGATGGCGAAATCACCTGTAAATAGCTGGAAGTGATTTCGACAAATTGCGAAATACTGCATAATAACACCGATTAGTATTGAATTTTGTCGTCATAGATCGACGGCGCTGCAGAATATCTTAACACAAATTTTCTATGAAATTATAAGCATGTGCAAGGTCTCAGGGGAAAAAAAATTCCTTATGACTTTTACCAAAAACCCAACTTCCATGCAAACTTTTAGTCTATTCTGAACAAGCACTTCCGTGAGCGCCTCTTGCGATCCAGCTCCCCAAAGCTGGCTCATTTAGGTTACGTTACAAAGAAATGTCAAAACAGAGAAGACTAACATTTAAAAAAAAATTGAAAAAGTTTTCGGTCATTTTCCGCTTTTCATGACTTTCATCACATTTTGAAATAATTTTTATACTTTTCCGATCAATAAACGATGAAATATTCACATTTAAAAACTAAAATGGGAGAAAAAACTCACATTTTCGTTTAAAATGCATTATGAGCATCCATTTCACGAACGCCGTTAGAAAAAATCTGTCATGGATTGAAGGTCAAACACTCACATGTGTTCCATTTGATTCCCTCTAGTACATACAGCCGTATGTCTACATCTCAATTCCACAATGGACTCATTTGCACTGCTCATTAAGGATCAATTTTGTTGAAACATTTTTCTGGTTCCCTTCTAACCAGACGTGTGCGAGAGGAAGGGTTTTTGCTTTTACCCCCATCCAAAATTTGAAAATTGGAACCATCATATAGCGATTTTCAATTTTCCAATGACCTTCTTTAGATCTTCCTTTTTTAGAGACCGATAGAATGTAAACTTTACAAAAGATAGAATGAGTTTTCAAAATCCGATTGCCTTAAAGCCTTTTTTCGGACTAGAAATTTTTACATTTTGCATTAGATATTTATAATTAATTTTCAAAATCAAGGACCTTTTTTTAGGTCTTCTAATTTTTTCCGACACCCATATTAAAAAATTTCGAATCTCCATCTGGCAATTTTCTTTACTTTGATGCAATATAAAATGGGTTATTTATTATTAATTTTGAGACCAACAAATGTCAAACCAAACATGACACAGAAATAAACTGATTGAAAACAATAGCTATTAGATAAAAATATATGATTGTATTGATAATAAAATGATTCCACGAGGAAAAATTTCAAAACAAACCTTTTATTTCAAAAGCAGAATCTTCTGGAAATGGGAAGAGATCGTTACTCAAATAC